CAGTTTCGCAAAAAATATTGCATTTATGAAAAAATCTCGAAAGATGTTCCATCTATGAAATTCGGACTAGTGACTTAATTAAGTAAAAATAAATTCACATTTTCGAGTTATTTTTTTTATTCTAAATTAGCTTTTCACTTAGTTTAATATATCGAAAATTAATTCGTTCGTTCGTTAGAAAAAAAGTATGTGTTTTTTTATTGTTTAAATATAATTTTAATTACAGTATCACCATCAAAAATAAAAGGAATAAAAAAATATTGGTGCAAACACTTTGAATTTTATTTTCCCAGTTTATTTCCGAAAATAAAATATTTTCTTCTTCAGTTCTTTTTTTATTTTTGATGTATGTATACGGGGTGGTTTATTAACAATTATGCCAACTAAATAAGGTTGCGTTTAGATTGGAGCTGCGATAAACGATAAGAGCAGTGATGAGAGCGGCGCAAATTTAATTTTTATGATATGCCGTTTATAGTGAAGCTTCAACAATAGTGACGATCTCTGCTTTGTAGTAGACGTGAAGTCAGTGAAAAGGAATTGCAAATATTGTAGTATAACAATCCCGGGTTCGATCGAAAAAAATATAAACGTAATTGTGGCCAGAAATATGTGATCGTCATAAGGTATACCTACGTTGTATACATCTATTTTTAAATTGACTGGAAGGCGCTGGCTACTAACTTTGTAGAGGGGATGTATGGTTTAATTATATAAAACAAAAGCAGAGTAAATACACCTAACTTTATTATTTACGTACGACAGTCTTTAAATTAAACATGTGACAAATAGAATAAACAACAAAAACATTAACAACAATTTAACATAAAATGAGAGTGGCCAGGCTCACCTAGAGCTCCTGTGGGGAAAGAGCATGGCATAGAAACCCACGATCGTTGCTCTAACTACCCAAATATGAATACAAAACAACCGCTAACAAAAGGCATAAATTAATATCCTTTGCTAATGATAATTAACGCCCAACTCATTTAATGTGTCACTAAACGTCACCTCACTCGAATTAGACATACACACTTCCAAGTAAAACTGAAGAGGTTTGGTGTTAGTTAGCCGGCAGGGCCGGAAAGTACTGGAGTCCCATACGGGAGGCAATCCAGCTATAGTTGAGATTTCGGAAGATCTGTTTTAGCAATTCTTTTTTTGTATTTAATTATTCTTTTTTTTTTCAGATTCGTGCCTCAAGGGCGAAAATGTTAGTAAATTCAACAAGACTCTTATAGGCGTATGATATAAAGTGAGCACAAGAAACGTTTTATTAATTGTTTTTCGAACAACGTAATCATGATAAAACAAGTTAAATGTGAAACAAAGGAATTGTTATTGCAATATCCGGGCAGTCGCAACAATATATACATATTTTAACATGTAATAAATAATGAGCAATCTTTAATAATAATTGTAACAATTTTACCTTCGAAAAATATATGCCCCTGAGCATAAAACAATGAAGGCTAAACATACACAGAATTATTAGCATGAAACATCTAGAATCATCACAATCATAAGATTATATANTATTTTAACATGTAATAAATAATGAGCAATCTTTAATAATAATTGTAACAATTTTACCTTCGAAAAATATATGCCCCTGAGCATAAAACAATGAAGGCTAAACATACACAGAATTATTAGCATGAAACATCTAGAATCATCACAATCATAAGATTACATAGAATAATTAACAACAAAGTACTTAAAGAATAATTACCTTCTAACTAATACCGGTTAAACACTTTTAATTTTTCACTACTTATATATTTTCACCATACACCGATCGTCTTACTTTTCACTCTGCTCTATCCTCACTTCCATTATCTAGTCTTCCTTCCAGAATTCCCCACCTAAGCGCTTGTTTTTGTGCTTCCTTCCACCAACTGTCAATATTACGTTTTCAGTATTGTGCAACACCCATGTAACAGGTGACGTTGAAGTTGATACGATAAGTATGGTTTTGCATAATATTTTTTTGAAATGAATGATTCTGAAGAAGAAACACTTCTAGCTTCAAGTGCAGTTAAATATGTTATTATTAAAACAGCATATAAAAACGCAAATTCTCTGCACATCTTTTAAATTCAATAAGGTACATATTTTGGAGAATTTCATCCCACAATTTATCCAAAACAAACCTATTGTGGTGATTGTTATTTTTTTGTTCCCACAAAGGGGTCCTAACAGATATTTCACTTATTAAACTGTTGATATCCATGCCGACCACACTTAATGTAAAAGCAAAGAAAATGAATAAAACAATTAGCGCCGCTCTTATTGTTACTCGGCTGCCAAGCGTGTCTCAACGCGTCGCTCCAATATAAACACCTGCATATAAAATAATGAAATAATTTTTTTTGCTTCGCTAGTGTCGCTGCTCTTATCGTTTATAGCAGTTCCAACATAAACGCACCCTAATCCTTCCAAATATGTAGATTAATGTCAGAATAAAATGTTCATCCTTGCAGTATTTTTGGAGATAGCTTGTTAAACCCTTATGGACTACCTGTAAATTTGAAAAGCAACTCATATTTGGAGTTCCTTCAATCTACACTTTTTGACGAATATATAGTGACTGTCACTTAGTCGAAGAACAGAGCGATTTGTCTCATTTTCAAGTGCATAAATTATCAATGATCATCGTTAAATTTTTCGAAGAAACGAATTTCTATGGCCACTTCGAAGTTCACTAGGCTTCCACGTCTGGGGATACTTACATGAAATCTTTTGCATATTATGGTCAAGAACTCGCCCAAGTTATGGCAAAATAGTCAGTTTTGCCAGTTTTATTAAAAACCAATACATTTTTTTAAGTTTCTATTTTATTCCTCTGTCCCTGGCGCGAGCCTCTGGTAAATACGAAAAACTATTTTTTACCATAGAATGTTTCCTAAAGTACCTAAACTTTCTGCCGAATATGATAAAACAATTATTAAACATTAGATATATCTAGGTAATGAGTAAACATAATTTTAATACATTTTATCTAGGTGTTTTAGGTGCAATCATCATATTTTCAACCAAGGATTACCCCATCGGACTATGTCTAATTATTACTAAAACACATTAAAATTGTATTTCTAAAAATAAAGCCTTTATTTTTTTGTAACCCGGAAATGTAGTTTTTCGGACTTTTTTTATTAAAAATGAAATTGTAATCAAATACATCGATATTTCTCAAATATTTAGTGGCATCGAACTTCTAGGAAATTTTAACACACTGTATCTGAAGAGTTTGAAATGTATGTAAAGGTGTTCAGAATCGTTAGCATTTTCGATTTTTCTTTATATTCACAGGGTGGCTTAATACATCTATAGGAACTAAGTATTATTTACTTATGGTAGCACGAAATCATTATTCTTTCCATAGTCTAATTAACTAATCTATGTGTGTTTTATCAGGTGTCCCAAAATTCATGCAAAATATAATTTTTTGGCCATTTGTGCGGCAAAGTGTTACCAACGAAAAAAAAAAGACAGTTTGACGGCTGATAATTCAGGGTTATTAAAAATGGAACGATACACGAAAGAACAACGCGTTTTCATTGTTAAGCAATATTTTTAAAATATTGAAGGTTTAGCAGCTACTGTTCGCAATTTTCGTACAAAATATGGTCGGAATAATAATTTAACTTCATGAGCTGTGCAGAGATTTATTGAAAAATTTAGAGAGACTGAATCGAATAGTCATCTTAAACACTCTGGTCGTCCTTCAACAAGTCATTCGACACAAAACATCGAAGCAGTTCGTGAGAGTGTTGCTGAGAGTCCAGGAATATCAATTCAGCACCGTGGTCAAGAATTGGACATTTCGAGAAGGTCTCTACAGCGTATTCTCTCGAAAGTTTTGTATTGTCATGCTTACAAAGTTCAATTGACTCAATCCTGGTCTTGTAATTTCCCGTTTTGATAATCGGAACAGATGTTGCGATTTAACGCAGTTGGACTTTTTTCTTTGGGTTTTTATTGAAGTCTCAGGTTTATGCCAACAAGCCCATGACTACCCACGCCTTGGAGGAGGAAATTGTGCGCTGTATCAACGGAATACAACAGCATTTATGCAAAACGTCCATGGAATATTTCGACAAAAGAGCGGGTGTATATCAGCAAAACTGTGAAGGCCATTTACCGGATATGCTATTTCATACATAACCCTGTACTGTATACTTTATGAATCAATAAAAAAAATTACAATTTTTAATTAAAAACCTGTATTTTCTATCAAACTCACTTCTTGCGTGAATTTTGGGACACCCTTTATTATCATCTAAAAGTAGATTCTGATATTTTAAATTTTCCACAACCTACCCAACCCCCTCCGCCCCCTTATCAATAAATCAATGGTTCTAGTAATTGTTCATCATGTCTAACCTTTGACGGATCGTAGAACTGTTAAAATTAAGAATCAATCCCAAAATACACTCTGTATACAGCATTTCAAACTTTTTTGCAGAAGGATTTTATTTGCCAACTCTTTAAACACATTTCACTTAAGTTTTGTTTTGATTACTTTTCCTTTGCCTTCTATGAAAAAATTTGCCTTGCGGTTACGCTTTCTTAATAAAACCACTTTATATTTCTCATGACGTTGAGATTTGTTTATCAAAAAAAGTTGATATCCAATAAAAGAAGAAAAATATAAAATTAATATTGTTTTTTTTTCGTGAAAAATAATGTTTAACGTACGGAAATTATTTAAGTGATCATTTGATTTAGTTCAAGATTGATTGCAATATGGTCACAAGAATTGTGATGGATTTTATGAAGAAACTTAGCTTTATTAGTATGCAACTGATGTCCCTGTTTCAGGTTTATTTGCAGATTTTTGACGTATTTGCGTATGCATAGTATACAATTATGTGGATCGCAAAAAAAAAGTTAAACGATACCTACATTTCGAAAATTTCGCGTATACTTAATGATTGATAGTTATTGTGTACACATTGAAGATAATTTTCATATACTAATCAACATAATATTTCCAGATGATAATTCAAAAGGAACATATAGAGGAAAACTTCATGCTAGGTCTGTCAGCGCTAATCGCCGGTGACTTCGTTTTCCTTCCGTCGGACACAAGAATTTGTAAGGCATTCCAACCGGGTAACGCCCAGTGTGTTACTCTCACTTTATTTATGAGAGTCAGATTTTTCCTGCCGAGCTTAAGAGGAATACGCGGATCCCAAGCAAGACACTTGTTATATCTGCAACTCAGGAGATCGATTTTAGAACACCAACTACCTTGCTCTTTTACGCAAATAATAGAACTTAATGGCCTGGCACTTCAAGCTGAATTCGGAGATTATAGTGAAAGGGTAAGCATTTTTTTTGTTATGTATTCCTGATGTTTCTATAATAACTGCAAGAAGTGACCAAAATAAATTTAAATTTCAGAAATCTCTTACCATCTAGATCACTTTGGTTATTCATTTTAAGTCTAAAATTATATACTGAATTCTAGGAACATGGAACAAGGGACTATTTCCTTCTGGAGCATTACGTCCCAGAAACAATGTCGTGTGTAATAGAAGACTCAAAACGATTAAGACAAGAACTTATTAAGGCACACATATCAAAAAAGGGTTTAGATCCAGAAAAGGCTGAACAAGACTTCATTACATTTGCACAATCACTACCGCATTACGGGGGACATTTCTATACGGCTACTTGGGTGAGTTTTTGACAATTTTCTCCATCAAAATCTATATTATCTACTATATATTTATTAGGTATTAAAAGATAATCATAAAGACGTTTGGTTGTACATAAGTTCTCAAGGAATCAATTTATATGAACGTGGTCAAACTACAAGTCATTTTGGGCCTCAATTGTATGAAATGTTCGAATGGAGGAGTATACAGACGTTGTGTTATAGCAAACATTATTTGTGCGTGTTACCGCATAGTAATTTGCATCATGCTTCAAAGTTGAAAAAGTATAAATTAAAGATGGATTATAAAAAGTAGGTATTACATACAAGGTGTCTCAGAAATAATTGCCAAAATTTTAACCACATGTTTAACTCAAACCAGAAATATGAAAAAAGTATAGCTTAGAGGTTTTCGAATCAACTTTTATTAGACAAAAGCCGTTGCTTTTGATAAATTAAATATGTGGTTAAAATTTTGGAACTTATTTCTGGGACATTCTTCATAATTCATAACAATAATAGTAATAATAATAATATAAAATACAAATATTGTTTATATTGGACTAAAATTTGAATTGATTTTTTCTAGCCATTGGATAGCCTTATTCTCTTCCAAGCCCAACGATGAATTTTAGTACTATATCTACTTGTAAAATGTAAAATGTAAAAATGTAAATACTAGCGTATTTACATTTTTTTTTAATTTAAATACTTCATAAATAACAAACAGGAAATAAAAAAAGGTTCAAAGCTTAACAGTATTGCTAACGTTACGCCTCGTTGATGAATCCATGTTATGTACTAGCATGAAATTTGTAAGATGTGTTGGAGTAATGGCATATTTTTTATTTCAGTAATGTTTGTAACTTTATCCAGTCTTGAAGTCTTGAGCCTAATATAAGTTGTGAGTTTCTGTTATCTTTTTTTCTTAATTTATTAAAGGTTCTGAATATGAACTTAGTACTTAAATACTCAATATTCCAAAAAGTTTTTTTGTTGCGGATATTTATGATTATTTTTATTGTTATTACAGAAACTTCCATAAATCCTAAAAAAATGAAAAGTAGCATCTTAGCAAAAGTGTATGTTAGAATAAAAGCTAATATTGTAGATTATGATGAGTTATAGTATCTTAAAATATTGTAATTTTTTTATTTTTTGTTAATTTTGTGAAAGAATTTTAATACGGACTTATAAAAAAATTGCAAGAACCAACACATCCGTAAAGAGAAATAACACTAATGATGACTTTTTCAATTCGAAACATTATTAAACAAGAATAGGTGTATGACACATCATTGAACTTGGAAGAGAAATCGAATATTAATCAAATGTAACTACAGGCAAAGAGAGTGAAATATACAGGGTGCCCAAAAAATAGTTGGCAATCTCTCGGATATGGGTAGGGTTCACCACAAATTGATATATGATTTTTTTTTGAGTTATTAGCTCTTGAAGCTGAGAGTTGGCATTTTTCATTGTATAGTTGATACGATCTCAATTGGAATCGCATAAAAACATTTAACTCATAAATTCTACGGAATCCATAGACGTCCAGAAAAATTTTAGTCTAGATATACTATATTCCGAGCTATATTACCATATAATTACCATACAATTGTCAAGTTTTTTATACTTAAAATCGCATTATAATAAAGCATGTCGTAAAATATCTAAAGATATATAATTATAATCAGGATAATCGCTTAATTTATCTCAAATCATGTTTAAAGTAGGAACTTTATTTTCTTTATATTACATCTGGTAAAATCGTCAATTTAATTTTATATTTTTCCGTTTCCTCTTTGTACCGTGATCAATTTAATTACGCGATAAATTGGCCTTTTTGTATATCTTAGTTAATTCGTTAATCCATTTCCTAACTTTTTTATCACATTGTTCACTATTTTCAATTTTCAAACATTCATATATATAATACGTTGACTTTTTACGTGTAAATTTTTGTTTTTAAACTCTGAGTTTGTTTCGATAATTTCGACAAAAACCGGTTCCACTATTTGGGGATTTTCCCGAGTTATTTCGTTATCCTCCGCTTCAAAGAGTCTCCAGAGAGCCACGCTAAATTACTAGATAATTACATATAACATTTATTTTAATAACTATTACCCTTTACTGGTTACGATATGAACAAATAATAATATCAACTAATAAATAATACGTACATACCCCGCCAAGCAATGCTCAGCACGGCACTGGCAAAGCGGCAAAGCTAAGTGAACCCGTGTACCATACAAAAAATTATTTACGATCTAGTGGACCAATACAGGTTTGCTTTGATGACTAGCGCGACGCCGTCAATTCTACATCAGGCGGATTAGTTTACCAATACCGGACTCGCCGAATTGCTATTCGAATATAAATTACGAGACACACCATGGCCAAAGCATAAGAAGAAATTTCAGGAGAAGTGCATACGGTCCTGTGCTTTAAGATTTACAGGTTCCAATTGACATCGTAACAACTATAGCATTTCTTCTTTCTTATTAAATTTGTATTACTTTTTGGATTAAAGCTATATTATTTGAAGTTATTTCTATTAATGTATTCAATATACTGATAGCTAGGTACTTTAGGTGTCTGGGAGCAAAACACCCTCAGCAGCTTCGACCCTAAAAAAAATTTACGTAAAAAATGCACCGTTTTTAAGATAAATGGGTATGATATACGAGAAATATATTTCCGATATATCTATTAATAGCAATAAAAAGTGGTTCTTTATTTAGCATAATTTTTGTTTTCTTATAATTATTCTTATATGTCAAAAATTATCTTTATCATTAAGCCTGGTTATCTCGAAAATTGTTCATTGTATTTGATATCAAACAAGTAAGTATACACCTTTTTCACTTAAAATAATATGGAAATCTTAAAAATGTCAAGAAAAGTTTTAAATGCCTATATATTTTTTTAAGGTTCAATACTGCCGAGAGCACTGTGCCTCCTGGCCTCCAAAGTAGCTATCAGTAAACTGAATATATCAACTACTTCAAATAACACAACTTTTACCCAATAAAATTATAAAAAATCAATGAAAAATAAAAAAGTTATAACAAAAATCAATTTTCATCTTTTAACTTTAAGAGCTAATAACTCTACAGGGTGAGTATAAAAAATATAAAGTTGTGATGTCATCTTTGCGAATACTATCCAAATCCAGGAGATTGCCCACCATTTCCTGCACACCCTGTACAATTCTTGACACTCGAAGTTTTAATAATACTTTTTGTTAATACTTTTAATAATACTTTTTATTAAGTTAATTAAGTTAAAGTTAATTATTTATTTATTTAATTACACCTCTCTCCCTATGTACACAGTTTTCTTAACAAATTGGAAGTTTTAAAATTTCATTTTGTGGATTCTCTGTGTATCATTTTGATCTAATAAATATTTAGACACTAATTTGCATATTTTGATTACCTTTTGCAAACTGAAGTTTAATGTATATATTTCAGGAGTTATTTTACCTTTCGATTAGCATCTCTACATCACCAGTTTTTTCTGCGTTTACGGACAGAATATACATCTCTCCAGAGCCTGTCGCAGCAGTTCGGAATCCCTTTAAAGGACATGAAAAATGAAACAAACTCGTTATGCAAATTAGAAGGTCTCACCAACCCAACCTACATGATGTCTAATAGCATAAAAAAGTCAAATTATACTTGTAGCAATGGAACTGTTAATGCCGAAACAGAATTCCAAATTGATTTTCGAGCATCTTCTAGATCGAGTGGAAAGACAACAAAAGATGACAATAATTTTAGACGCACAAAGAGTGTCAATGATTTTGGTGATTTAGAAGATGTTATAAATGAGGACTATCAAAATAAGGAGAATGAAAACCCTGGGCAGAAACCTCACAAGGGATTAATATTAGATAGTAGTTTTTTATCAGGGCTTCCTCCTATAAATACCGTAGAGAAACGAAGAGGTGTAAAAATGGGAATGAGAGCTTTTAATAAAGTGGGACCAAGAGTATCCAGATCTATGGAAGCTGTGAATGCGGCCAGTAATGAATACTTAGAAGAAATGTCTTTGCAGTCTGTCTCATTGCATTGCAGTTCTACTTCTATATCAAGATCCCCTACTAGAGAATGCACACCAAATGAAGCTTATATTTTAGGTAAGTTTTCAGTGTATTATTTGTTATCTTTATGTATTTAGATTAAGTTAGTAACGTTCTAACTTGCTAGATATGTCATCAAAAAATAGTTTTCAAAATCATATGCTTTATTGCATTAATGAATTAAATTTTTAATTTAAATGTTTAATTATGTCTGAATATATACAGGGTGATTCAGAACTTATCCAAAAAAAAATTTGGGTATACAGGGGACTCTTCCAAATACAATTTTGTAAGGAAAAAATCAAAAGGGGCAGTTTGAAAATGATTTAAAAATGCACTTTTGCACGGCACTGGAAACTGGTCCACTGTAAATACTGACATTGTATAATGCAACCGGCACGATGGTGTGATAAAAACTTGAAAGAATTTTGCAAGGAAAGGAATAAATAGAATTTTATAGCACCTATTTTATATCAGCAAATTCAACTGCTTTTGCTGTTATTGTTATTATAGGTTTGTATGTATGTATGTCGGAGCGTGGTGGAATGGTTTTTTCACCACTGCACTTAGGCCTTATTAGGCCCCTTGTACACCCTCCTTCATTACTCGAGTACTTTTCTTCAAACCATCCTATTTACTACACGGGTGGCTTGGTGGTAAAGTCTCGTACAGTTTATGTATGATAGCATGGTCTTGAGTTACAGAGATTTTCTTTGCTCTGTTCTCATTACCATTTATCGGGGACCACATGCATGCGGCAAATGTTGGGCGACCCAGGTCTCTGGTAGGCTGGCACAGCCACGTCCCCGAGCCTGCCTTAGGTCACCCATCCAAATTCCAGCCTTCGTCCGTGATGCTTGCCTCGACAGATCGAAATCCGCCGGCCAAGACACCCGGCTAGGCGGTCCCCTAATTTGACATAGGTACCTGATGTTATAGTTTTTCCAAAGTCAATTGAAGAACCAATAATTTCAAGATACGTACCAGGCTCGGTCGCTAAGCAGCAACTCAGCATTGAAATATTTGAAAAACTTGTTCCCATATTTAATTAGCCATACCCATAAACAGGTCTGGTCGAACTAAACGTGGAGATGATAGAAATGTATACGTTCAGTTGAAGAATGCGAGCGTGGCCAAAGGAAAACGAGCACAGTTGTATTGGGTTTCTAGGCAATAAATCACAGCAGGTGACAAGTGGTTCATAAATTGTCCAGCAGTGCAGTGCAGCAGTGCGGAATTTGGTGTGAATCAGTCTATTTTAATTTATTATAGGCACCTTCTATCGATCATTCATATTACAATTGCGAAGGGGAGAAATAAGAGGGATATTTTGTTTACTAATATTATCACAACATGGCATTTTGAAATGGAACAGAAAATTTACCACCAATATAATAAAATTGTTTGATGACATAAATAATTAAAATATGTTGTTGGCCAAATGAACATATAATAGAAATTGTCTACACATTATATACAAATTATTATAATTTTTTATCTTCAGCAGAAAAATTTTTTAGGGACGCCTATGAAACTCATTAAATTTTATTACCAGACGTTTTTTGCATATTCAACTGACTTCGGAAGGACTATATAACTACTGTTTCATTTCGGTATTCGGAGTCGCTTCAATAATTTTTTTCTCGGAAACTATAAGGACTGCAATTTTTTTTACAATATTGACTCTGCATCTATTCCCAAATTTTTTTGGATAAGTTGTGAATCACCCTTTATACATTAACTTTTCTAATACGCTGATAAGCTAATAAATAAGACAGAACAATAATGATAAGTCATTGATCATCCATACACTACTTCCAAGTCAAAAAAGAGACTTTTTCACCTTAACTTTTAATCTAAAAATCTTTTTACTTAACTGTAAATATGACAGTGATTGTTGCTTTCATATCTCTAAAAATTTAGTGTTTATTAATTTTTATCTTCGACGGATTTGAATAATAATCATAAAGGTTGTTTAATTTATAGATTTTATTAACAAAATAACAGCACCTTATGAATATGCATAATAAGGATGTCCATTAAAACTACAGAAAACAATGTCTTATAAATTTACTTAGGTCGAATATGCATTTGAATTACAAGAAAGAGCTTTATAGGTGTTTAATTTAAGTATGTCCATTTAAGTTAACAGAAATACATATGTACATCGTATAGATGACCATATTTGGGATATTAATTTTATTTATGAAACGACAACACCTTACTTAGAATATATCCATTTGGATAACAAAAATGAATGTCTATAGACATCATATATATATTTATGAATCGAATGAATCGATAGATCCATGTGAGATATAAAAATGTATGGATGTCATCAACTGCACATTGTAACAACATTTACTAAAGATACAAAAAAAATAACTTATGGATATATTTAACATTTATCCATCTGTATATTAAAGAATATATTATGGGACATACAAATAAGGGATCATTATATGTTTTACCTAATGTGGTATATTGAAGTTTATTTGAAATAACCAGTATCCAAACAATCAAGGAAAAAAACCAGCCCCCAACAAAAATATTACCTACACTGTAATCATATCAACAACGAACAAAATAAACAAACTTCTTTATTTTGAAGGGTATGAGAATGTTAAGCCAATATAAAGGCTGTAAATGAATCTACCAATGTGAATTGGTTTTGAAAAGGTTCAAATTAATTGCAAATGTGTGAAATAGGTTTGACAGGAAGCTGAATTCGAAGTGCAAAATCTATATAATACTACTTAATTATGTAATGTAAGAAACATTACATATGTATGGAATGCATAATTACTATTATAATAAAAAAAATTGAATTAGTACTTTATCTAGGACTATGAATTAATATTGAGGGATTTTTTTTGTAAATTCAAGACTTTGTTGTGAAAAATTGTATACATTATTATTTTTCATAGTATTGTCCATTGCTACCAACTATTTTCCCCATCTTTCTGGCAACGTACGGATTCCACGTCAAAAAAACACTCGTCTTTTGATGCTATCCACCAATCGATCCAATTTTTTATATCTTCTTCAGATTGGATGTGCTGCTTATCCAGTCTGTGTTCCATATGGATCTAAAGAAGTAGTAGTCCCATGGAGCAATATCTGGTGAATATGGCATGAGCATAACATGTGGTCAAGCATTGCCATGTTGAAAAATGACTCTATTATATCTTTGCTCAAATTGTAGCTGTTTTTCTTCAATACATGGTCCAAGTGCATCAATTATGTTCGGTAGCATTGATCAGTAATGGTTTCATTGTTTTGAAGCAGCTCGTAGTACCCAACACCATGCTGGTCCCACCAAATACAGAACATGAGCTTCAAACCGTGAATTGGTCTTGACATTGATATTGATGACCAGTCCAACTCTACAATTTTTTATGTTTAAGATTATCATAGCCTATCTATTTTTCCTTATCAGTGACGATACAATGGAAAAAACACTTTCTTTTTTGCCATTGAAGTAATAATTATTCACACGTGAAAAATGACTGTTCAACATGTTTAATTCATATGGCAATTTCCTTACATTCAGTAATTCAGCAAGTTCACCTTGCATTTAACATGAATCAAGTAATGCTTTCAATTTCTCATCTTTGAACTTTTTTGGTTGACGAGAACGTTATTTGTTAATTGTATTGAAAATCACCACTTCTAAAACATTTAAACCAATATTCACACGTTTTTATTGACGAACTAGGTTTATAAGTTTCCAACAGCACTCAAAGACTTTCAACAGCACTCTTCTTTGAATTAAACAGGAAAAGTAAAACTTCCCGCAAATGATGTTTTGTTGTCTCATAATTCAACATCTTCGGAGCTGAGAAAAAAATGTGTTGTTTATACTTCAGCAAAATGACACATAATAAAAACTAAAGCCTAATGATTGAGCTTTGACATAGTGTTGGGATTACTTGAGTGAAAAATAACCTATTATCCGATTATTGAAATAACCTGAATAATTCCGTTATCGGAAATGAAAAACTAGTTTTTATTTTTTCTTATGTGTGCAATGTGAGTAGTCTGTCAACTACCCACTACAATGAACATGTGACGAGCGACATGTAGGATAGAAAGTATAGATAACCCATAACTATAATACCCGAGTGATACGGTATATACGGAACTTATGATTGTAACCAATTGTAGATATTTATTTACGTATTTAATTCGCCATTTGGAAAATAAAAAAAGGGTGAATTTTTATAAGAAATAAATTTTCTACTATAAATAAAATTCAAAAAATAGATAAACATAATTTTTTGTATTTTAAAGATAGAAATTTATAAAAATAGACTGTGAACGTTGAACAAAAAATATTAACAAAAAAATATAACATTTAATTTCTTAAAAAAACAAAATAACATGGAAGTACCTAACTAAAATTTGTCCCTTTGGTAATTGATAAAATTATGTTGATGAATAAATGCGAAGCAAATGCTATTTTAAGTTTCAAGAGTCACCTCCACATCTAATATTTTTTTTACATACTTGATAAGAACCAATTTTTTACAACCAGGTCACATATATCAACTGTATAAGCAAACTACTAATTAATTTGGTTCCTATTAAAAAAACATATAATTCTAATTCTAACTGAATATTGAATCGTATATGTCAAACAGTAAACGCTAAGTGAACAAGCCATTTAACGAAGAATCACTAACGTCGCCCGAAGGACCCCGAGAATTCAAGTTATCATCACTCGAATGATCATCCGGTTTTTGAAATCACTCAAATACTCAGTAGCCGGTTATTGAAATAATTCGGTTATTCCCATCACTGCTTTGACATGAATATGGTTACAAACATAGCCATTGCGACATAGCATAAGTTACGCCATCTATTATAAATCCCTCAAAATTAATTCAGTACTAGTAAGTTTACATTTGATTTGATTTTTTTTTTGCAGAATAAATATATAATGTTTTTGTAGAAAAACATATGATTTGCAAACATAGGAACTTGATTTATAAAAGTTAAATTTTCAGTGCAAAATCTACATAGTGTTGACGTAAAATATTACATGTCTATCAAATCCACTTTTTAATCACCAACAATGAAACAACTTGTAATAACTTATTACAATTAACCAGTGCAATAGACTGCTCAAGCATAATCTGTCTCATAAACTCTGATACAGTATTATTTCAACACTTCTCATCTGACTTTGGCCCTTTATCCTCTAACTCATAAACAACCCATTTGGTCTCAAGTCGGTCTATGTTATAAACATTTTTGTGTTCTAAAAATATGAAGTAATGTTAATTATGTTTTTTTTTACAGATTCTACTTTGAAAGCTTGCTCACAGCAGTTCTTACCTGATTTCCAAGAATCAGTAAGTGAATCGTTACTAGAAAAACTAAATAACATGTCTTTTACGGAGGAGAGAATTTTGCATACAGTAACCGTTGAAAGAGACAGGAAAGGTAGCCTTGGCATGCAGATAACGGAAGGATCAGATGGAAACGTATACATCCAGTCAGTGATCCTAGGTGGCCCTGCACATCTGTCAGGAAATATAGTAAGTGGAGACCAAGTTGTGGCAGTAGACGGACAGTCGTTACTTGGTTTGAAATACGTTCAAGCTCTAGATGTGCTGAAAAACAGCGGTCGTAAAGTAGATTTTATAGTGTCTAGAATAACGCCAGCTAGATGCAAGATTAATAATTCCAATTTTAATAACAGAAGAAATTTTTCACATATTCTAGAACCCCATATCAGAAACAATAAAGCTAATGATAATAAAATATCATATCCAAATAATGTAAGTTCGATAAGACCAACATATCCAAAATGTAGTGACAGCCCCATCGAAAAACACTTAACCGAGAGTTGTCATGACATTTCCAATTTTCACAAATACGGCATTTCCACAAAATACAATTCAGAAGTACCATATCATAAACATATCCGATATGAGATAGAAACTGAAAGAGAAAATGTTACAACAAGAAAGCTGACAAAAAGATGCACTGATAATTTCAGCTTAAGTAAGAACCTCTCGAAATCTTGCAGTCATTTATATTCCGCGGAACGAGACAAAGCAGTTATAGTGGAAATGATACCAAAACGTGATGTGGATCTATCGAATTTTCATTCTCTGGACAGGCGGTACTTCAGAAGTGCCAAACCGTTTACTACGAATTCTGAGAGAGAGTCAGTATGTACTATACCACCTATAGCACTACCTCGCAGTTTAGGGCTTAGTAGAAAGTGGAGGGGACCTGTTCGTTATCCTGTTACACCTGTTAAGAAAGTTATGGATATGGACACGGATAGCTGCACTTATGTTTCAACGTCGGATGAGGAACAAGTTTTTATTTGATTTATAATGTAGTTAATAGGTATGTATTCCGAATAAATATGGTAATTAAATTTGTATCAGTAAATTTAAATTATTAACAGCAAAGAAATAAGTTCCATTGATTGGGAAGTTTTGTTTTTAGTTAATCGTTTAATTTTGTACTAACTTTTTGTAAATAGATAACATTCTTACAAATATTATTTAATTTTTTTCATAGGCGTGACTAATTTTTTTATACTACTGAATCATAATTATTATAATAAAAAATATCATGTTTTGTTATAACTGTTATCATTGTATAAGCTAGTAACAATTGTCACGTTACTACTCGTTGTCATATTACCTATTTATGTACACATCAAATTAAGAAATAGAAATTGAAAAATATATACCAGTTTTTTTTTTCAGTGGAAAGCATTTACTGCATGCTTAAAAATTGTGAAACTTGTATACTATAATGTTTCTTCACATAAAAAATATTATTTGTATAGAAATAAAATGTGCTCTCATGGAATCCATTAGTAATGTTTAAAATACATGTAACACACTATATTGGAAACATTTATGATTATTAAATGAAAATAATTAGAAAAGTTAGGGTATAAAGAGAAAACATTAGTTTTTTCAAGAACTGTAAACTGAATATTTAAAAATTGCAAGTACAAACATTGATTAAATATAATTTTTGTGATATCTACATACAGGGTGGGCTTTTTTATTTTTTGAATTTGACCAATTAGTTTCAGAGATATAGGTAGGTTGTTAAAAAACTACTTTTTACAAATTTATTTGCAAATGCCACATGTCAGCCAATTAAGTATTCAAATTGATGACCTCCAGCCTCGATACAGTAATAAGTTTTGTAAAAAGCATTCACGTACATTTTGTAACATTTCTGGAGTAACTTGGAAGTAGGTGGAATGATTCTAACCCAAGGGTATTTTATGAGAGTCATACACAATGTCTGGAAATATGTATGGGTTGGAATTTTTGGTGCCCATATTGTTTGTCCTTTTTCCAACGGGATGAAGCTCCCCCATACTACGCCCTAGCTGTTCAGCAGTATCTTGATTGTAGGTTTGCAAATCAGTAGATTGGGAAGAGGTGTCATAGAATGGCCTGCACAATCGCCAGATTGGTCTCCTTTGGACTTTTTCTTGTGGGGTCTCTTAAAGTCCAAAATTTATTTCTCTCAACCTACTTCCCTTCAAGATCTATGCCAACCCATTATTAATGAATGCCACCAAGTTACTCCAGAAATGTTAGAAAATGTGCATGAATGCTTTTTACAAAACTTATATTACTGTATGGACATCATCAATTTGAACACTTAATTGGCTGACATGTAGCAATTTGTAAATAAATTTGTAAAAAGTAGGTTTTTTTATTAATTAATTGTAAATTCAAGAAATAAAACACAGTTGTGTAAAGAATTAGAATACCTTTCAAAAGATGTATCACTTAACTCTCCTTCCCTATTCAACCTGTCTTGGAAAATTCATTTTCCTGAGTATTATTCGCTCTGGTTCGTTTTCAAGAGCCCTCCCCGTATATTATAATTGCATATTAAATTATTTGTCACGTTTTACATACTGCAATAAAATGGCCAATTCATTATGCAAATTTGAAACTACTAGTCACGATAGACTTAGGTAATCTTATTTTATATTTTCCAATTATTTGCCCAATAAATCGATTAAAAAATTTGAAATGTTTAAGAGGTAAGACCACTATAATTTTCAAAAAATCTATTTTTTTATTGATTTCAACCTTCAGAAAAAGGGTAAAAAAGTTTTATGCTTGTACAAATGATGTTTCCTTGTGATTCCAAATTCTTTCCCAAGTGCTTCGGACTACTCTGAAATGACTGCCTGCAGCCCATAGACACCTGCAGGAGGATACAGGCTCGAATTCAACTTACCTTGCGAGAATAGCGCCATTTTGTACTATTTATGAACGAATATCTTTTTTTGAACACTTAAAGACGCGGTCGATAAAATCCTTGAATATTATTATTTTCTTACTTTTCCTTGCATTAAAAAAAAAATCGCAAAAAGACACTTTATTTTAGTTTTTTACAATGGTGTTACCTACCCTTCAAGAATAAGTTATAGATGTCCTCTATGGATGGTTGCTCTGGATAACCTAGACATCTGTAGTTTACCTGTTTGGACTCTAGGTGGACTGATGTCTTATGGAGATATAGATGTTACAACTTCTCATATACATGAGCTGTACAAATAGCATAAATCATCCACTGGACATCTACCATCCACACACACCTTCCAATAAGTCATACTAAAGAATTTTCCATATATTTTTTTTAACTTTTTCTGCCCAATATCTTTTATTTTTATTATTTACTCATTTCTTTTACCCTGAATGAAATAATTAACCTAATTGTATCTATCAGCTGACCATAAATAACATATATTTTGCATATAGGTATATGTGCAATCTTTTTTGAGATTGCAGGGTCGGCCACTCCTATTTTAGTTTTTTATTTTGCAAATTTTGTTCTTAGTTCTCTGGGGTGAGCATAGACATCAACCCTTAAAAAATGGTTGCATTATCAAAATTTATATCAAACTTATTGGTGGATTAAGCTCAAATATTTTATGAGATAAAATAAATAGTTAATAATAGTTTCATTTCACATAAAAATTGCAAAGGTCAATACAAACAGTATTGTATTGACCGTTGCTAGGCGGTTGCTAGGAAAACTGTGCGATTTTTTTACCGTACGTAATAGGAATCTTACATTGATCGCAGACGGTGTGTTTTTAAGTATTTACAGTAGTGGTCGTATGTAAAATCTTTTTAAAAATAGTACATAGGTACTCATATATGATTATCGCGAAATGGAAATTTTTATTGAAATATTTTTTTTATTATGTACTCATTGAAGTTTAACATGTCCCATACCATTTTTTTATGTAGGTAATCAATAATAGTGTAAAAAATCTTTTAAAAAATACAAAAAAAAACAAAAGTAAATAGGTATTCATCTATAAAATCAAAAATGATCAAGTTCCATTTGGACAATCAAAATGATCTTTTATGTTTAATTTATGGATATCCAATTGATTTAGCACAAATGCACCTTGCATCTACCTATAATTGAGATATTTGAGATTTTTATTAACTAATGCCTCCTTATGTAAATATATAAATAAGGGTGTCCATCAAAACTACAGAAATACAGGTATCCATAAAACATCACGTTCTATACAGAGTATAGCAATTATACCATGTAAAATAGGATTAAGTACCTATATGGAGACAGAAAACCTCTAGTTTTCCAATGACTTTAATTCGAATGTTGTTTATGGTTTTAAAATCCAATCCAAAAATGTATATTTTAAATGGGTTTGATAGGGATAAGTACACTATAAATTTTATAAGAAATTGACCAATAATTCGTCACATTTGAGGGACTTCTTTGTAACTACATGTTACAATAAATGTGTTGCAAATTGTCTAATTTATTGGTCCAATTTGAAAATTCCTACTTTAACATAATAATACCAAACTGGCAACTATTGCCTATAGAATTATAACTTGAACAGGTAGGTATGTAACATATTTTGCCTACTTAAATAAGTAAAAACAAGTGTTTTTTTCCAAAATGTTGCTAAGATTGGCATCAGAGACCAAAAATAAAAAATGACAAATAAAAAATCTCTAAAGCCAATAAAACTGAACTGCTTTTATTTTTTCCAATTTCTTGGTCAGTTTATTGCCGAAGTAGAGGAATTTTTTATAATTTTTGTAACACCAACCAACATGGTAAATGTAAAGTATTTTGAATGTAACCAATTTTAGATTCAATAAATTGTTTAAGGAATTGGTAAAAAAGATTTTCAGTTTTTATATTCTTGAGAGCTTTTTTTCAGTTACAATAAATTGGAAAATTTATTGCCATTTTTAAACCACCAACTTTTAGAACAAACATTCCGTGATAACAGCAGCAGATATATTACGGATATACAGAACTTACAACATATGGTAACATATTTTTTAAGTATTTAAAGTAAAAATCCAAAATTGTAGATGGTAACTAAAATTTGCACTACAAAGACAAAAACCCACAAAAAATTATTAATATTGAGCAATGAATTCATTCATATATGAATAAATTAGAACTAATTGCAGGTACTGGTTTCAATTTCTTGGACAATTAGGAAGTTAGAAAATTTGCCACTATAAAAGTAGATAGTACATAGTTTGTTTAGTTTCTTAATCCATTATTTTATTGGATTAAAAATTGGTAAATGAATTTTACATTGCAAAACCCTCACAACAAGTCTATAATATCCAAAATTCTCTTTAAAGAATAAATGCATGAATGCATGAATATTGTGAGTATTTTATCTGTGATATGCATTTAGTATACCTTTTACAGACTAACTACTATTATACATTACATCTACAATGTAGGAAAGTACCGATGGTCTATCAGAAGTTACGTGAGAGCGATAAAGTAAGCCATAAAAATCCATGTGATAGACAAGGATGGCTATAATGAAGGCGTCTAATAGTCAACGTCCATTTCGCCCTTCCACAAATAAGAAGTGGATCTTATTTGTGGAAGGGCGAAACGGGCGGTGACTATGAGAGGCCTTCATTATAGCCATCCTTCTCTATCGCATGGATTTCTATGGCTTACTTTATCGCTCTCACGTAACNATTAATGGAATTACCTAACTAATATCATGTGGTGGTTTTCTTTTAATTCATTACACCCCTCTTCTATTCGCTGCAGTAGTTGTGGTGGAGTAGAGTAAACTTTACTTTTCAGATAGGTAACCCCAAACGTAGAAGTCCAGGGGGTTTAGATCTGGCGATTTGGCTGGCCAAGAGACTGGATTCTCTGCACCATTATGGTTGACATTGGCATTTGGTCTTCAACCTATCCATCGCCCCATATAATTTTTAAGCCATTATTGTATTATTCTCCTAAAATGCGCAGGAGCACCATCCATTTGTATCCAGCTATTTTGTGGTATATTTAATGGAACATCCTCTAATAATTCAAATAGATGGTTTTCTAGAAAGTTTAGAAATGCTGGGAATTTAGATGGGGTGACAAGAAATAAAGTCCGAATTATTCCGAGCCAGAAAATTCGTTGAAAAGATCTTATCCGAATTTCATGAGGATTTTCTTGTGACCAAATATTGTGAAAATTCACTACCCCTCGCCTTGTGAACGTAGCCTCATCGGTCCAAAGTATTTCTAGT